CGTGTTGTTCATGCCTCTGCGCTTTTTATATCAACTTTATCTTTTTTTTTTTTTTTGTGTTTCATCTTTGCCTTCCATCCCTCAGTACATCAAGTCTCAGCCCATAAACAGTCTCCCTCTCATAGCCAGCCTTCTCGGCATACCCCCTGCCCCGAGTCCTTGTGGGGCTTCCAAAGCTCTTTGCGTGTACTTCCATCCTAGCATTTTTCCACTGTCTTATAATTATTAGAATTGTGCAACTTGGACAATCATGGCCTGATTATAGGGGCAATCTTTGTTACTTCTTAAACCTCCAATAAAGTTTTTTGTGAAACTGAAATGGACTACAACGTTTATTTACTTGTAAAAATTCTTTCCAAGTTATATATTTAATCCTATGAGGAGTCAACTACTGATACTCATGTCATAGTCATTAAAGCCAGCCCAGTATACTTTTTTTGAGACAGAGCCTTCACTGCCCTGTCTCTATAAAAAAATAAATATAAACATAAATAAAAATTAATACACAGTCTAAAGGATCAAGACTGTGGAGAAAGTTCGAATATAAACATGTGAACTACAACCTAATTATGAAAGACAATCATCTAGCTTGGCTTCCCTTTCTATCGGCCAAGCAAACAGAATTTGCATGATTTGCACTGCCTACAGGAACATGCATGCAGCTCTCACATGGAACAGTCCATGTGGCAGAGGAAGGCACAAGCGCAATGGCTTGATGATCAAGTCTGCAGCCAGCAGAAACTATGTACACAGGAGGTTAGACCAAGAGAGCCATGTCAGTCTGACCGAAAAGGTCACAAATCTTATATATAGTGATCCAAAATTTTACAAAGAAGAAGAAAAGTACATCAAAATGGGCCGGGCGCGGTGGCTCACGCCTTAATCCTAGCACTCTGGGAGGCCAAGGCAGGCGGATGGAGACCAAGACAAAACAGATGGAATACACTGACCACATAGATGAAGGTTCACTTCCATGAGAGTTGGCTTGTTTAATGACTCCTTCTTAATGTAACAATTCAATGAACAAAAGCAACAAATTCTATTTATGAGTAGTACATATAAAAAAGAGATAGGCAGAGCATAAATAAAAAGAAATGTTTATTTCCTCCTTTGCCTTCCATGTCACAAAAAAGTATGACCAACCAATGAGCAGATGGTTAATAAAACGCCCATCCTAGGGGGCAGTGCGTCGCAAAAAAGTCATCATCCCTCTCTCACATGGCTCTGTCCTTTTCACATGGCTGACAGCAGAGCATGGTGACGGGATTGAGGCAAAGGAGGTGACAAGGAGCCAGGCGCTTTCTGTTTCTAGGGCACTCTGGGGAGCTGTGAGCGAGGGACAACCTGCAATCACAGCCTTCAGCATTCTCCAGGGCAGCGAGCCCTTAAACTCTGACCACGTCTCGTTGTATCAATACATACTGTCTCAGTGAATTCTGGTACCTAGATTGTGTCAGATACAGTAGTATCTGCAGTTCTTCATTTGATGAAAAGTTATTCGTTACTAGATATCTAAAGAGAGACTGTTACCTACCGAATTAGCAAAATTACAAATACATGCTGTGCTAGTGAGCACATGATAACGACAACTCATACATCATTGGTAGTAGCATTATTCAGCTCTATCACAAAGCAGTTCATGAACATGTATCCAAAGCAAAGTTAATAGCCAGGTGCAGTGGCTCACGCCTGTAATCCTAACACTGTTGGGGAGGCTGAGGGAGGATCTGCTTGGCCCAGGAGTTCGAGACCAGCTGAGCAAGAGTGAGACTTGTCTCTCAAAAATAGAAATTAGCAGGGATAGTGGTGCGTGCCTGTAGACTTTTCAATTATTTTCGAACTATGCATAGTCAGTCAGTTGGATTCAAAATGCCAGGATACTCTTTTATAATTATATATTTATAAAAGCATGTAACTAGGGAAAGATGAATACAGATTACTTATTTATGTATTTCTTAATCGAATTTTACAATGTCGTTGTGTTTGTAGTGTTGTCAAGTGCACCGGCTGGAACGAGGGCAGCTATGGACATCTTATACAGGAGGACCGAGTGAAGATGCTCAGACAGATGATTGGGATCTTTTAAAACAAACCCATCAATACACATATCATCTACTGTGATTCTGAAGACTGTAAACTAGCTCCCACAATCAGTGCTTCATCAAAATCAATGTGACACACCCTTTTCTGAACTGCACGGCCAGGGAACAGTCTGGCTGTGGCTTCTTACAGTGCCACGCACTTTGAGCACTTTGTTCGTGTCTTGCCATATATTTCCAATACACAGAACAACCAGTCTCCTGTACTTCTCACTTCTGGACTCGGAAAAGAAACCGAAACATAAGGGTGTAAGAAGGGATTAAGAACTTGATAAGGTCAAAAGCAATAATTCTCTGACAGTCTCTCCATGAAACCAGGAACCTTTACCTCAGTCTCTTCATCTGCAAAATGGTTTCTGGGCCCTCTCTCAGGGATTAGGAAGGTATAATGAAATTATGATGAGTCACTCACTGACAGAAAATAATTATATTTTTCAAATATTTATAATTCATTTTACCTATAACTGCC